CGGTAAATATATATTGATTCCTGTTACCGCTGGCCCCATCCTTCCAACACCCAGCACGCGCGCCGGGCATATCCAGCACCAAGGCCGGTTCATCGGCCCTTTTGTGTATGTGCAAACGGTGTAACAGAAGGGACGCGGTACAGACGCCTAGGCGGGTCCCCCGTGACAGGTGCTCTTGGCCTCCGTCGCGCACGCTTTCCTCGCCTGCCTTACACACCGCTAGGGACACTTAGAGACACATTGCAGGGCACCCTTCTGTATTTGCACAGCAAGCACACAAAACAAACATTGTAACTGCAACTGCAAAGGGTGAAAATCCCCCCAGAATATCTATTGTTGGGCAAACCTAGCTTCTAAAATGGGTTTTCCGTGAAACCGCACACTGTGTCAGGATGCTAGAACTACAAGGAAGCAAAGTCTAAGCCCCTCCTTGTACAGCAACCGAGATGCAAAGAGGAGTGAGATGCTGGTCACTGCTGGTTGCTCCATTGTTTGTAAATCTACGTGCATTTGGTATATATTTGGCTTGTATGTGCATAATATAAGATGCAGAGGTTTTGAGCACATAACCTACAGGCTGTGATTCTATGCCCTAACTGCATCCTCACAATGCTTGCTTATTCCTTCCCGTTCTCTCGCCCTGCAGCCTCTACATGAGATATTTTTCACATCCTAAGTTTTCTTTCCCATACCCCAAACCTGACCTCCTCTCAAGTAAACAAAAGGCTCACTCTGAATGCAGAACTCCTTACTGAAGACCTGAGTACAGACCTCCCCAAACCAAGTCCCGGTTCCCTTCCACCAACATTGCATGGTGGCTGGTTTCTCAGTGCCTCTCGCTTCACTGACTTGCCTCTTGACATTGATTTCACTCTCACAACCAGAACTTTCCAAAAGTGGAAACCGTGGACCTTGTGAAGGCAACTGCACCAGCTGAGCCTCTTTCTGCAGGGAGTCATGGCCCTTCTGTTTCCTTATTCCACTCTGGGTGCCTACACCTTTCCTGACAGATCCTTTTCTTTGCCTGGCAACAGTCAGCTCTTCTGGTCAGATGAGCTCAAATCAAAAAGCTGACCACTTTTCAAGCCTCAGCTAATGATCCACGCAGAAAGCTGGGCACACGTTTCTCCAGGAGATTTTACACTTGGATTAGTATCAACTCCAATATGAAGAAAACTCTCCAAGAATAGACTTGGACAGGCTGCGGCAGTAAACAGTAACAGCAACCAACCGTGTGATGTTTCCAACCAGAGACTTGAAAGAAAACAAAAACTCTTGCATAAACCAGTATCCACGGTTTCATCAGTAGCACAAAATCACCAAAACAATAAGGGATAATTCTTTACCTCCACTAATTGCCAGGATGTTCACCTCATTATTTTCAGTGATGCAGCATTAACTTGGCTCAGAGATATTTTCTCTCTGCTCTATCAATCATGGCAATGACTTGACAGTCAACATCTCTCATAAAGGTTATTGATGTAACAATCCTGTGGTGTGCTGTATTTTCCCCCAAGGAATTTCTTTATATATATGTGGAAGACAAAAGATATTAAAGTAGCAGCACACAAAGATTCATACCTTAGCATGTTGAGTAGCTAAAGACACGCCTTGTAAAGCACCTTTACATGTCAGGTGCAGTGACAATCTACAGACTTACATGTATTGACTTTTTATTCCTAACAGTTCCATTACAGTCTGGGTAGCATCTTCCTATTTTACAGAGAAAAAAAACACCAAGGCCACATGGATTCTGTAACTTCCTTAAGATCTCATTTTGAGCAGAAGGCCTTGAGTCTAGAGCTTACTGATGTCAGTTACCCTAACCCTAAAGAGAAGAGTATTACAGGAAAAGACTTGGCATGAATTTTAAGGCCATCCATTTAATAAGCATATTTATTAAGCGTCTAGCATACTCAAAACACTGTTTTAAATAAGTCACAGTCCTGATGTCTCCCCATACTTATCTTACATTATGGCATAAAGTGATGAAAGCATTTTGAGAATCATATACAAACACCTGTATTGTCATTGTGCCCATGAAACCTTGTCCTCCACATTTGTATCTCAAGGCTGGTAGGACCCAGGGAGGGATTGACATACCTATTCATCTCAGGCCACATGCAGATAAAGACAAGCAAACAGAGTGCCATTTGCAAGTGGTCCCTAAAATGCTAGGAAAACCATGAATTGGACTCATCAGGGTCTTCATCTTCGGAAGACCCTGTGAAAACATTAAGGTGCTTGTTTGTTTGTTTTGAGTTGGCATCTTACTCTGTCACCCAGGCTGGAGTACAGTGGTACACTGCTTACAGCTACCGCAACCTCAACCTGCTGGGCTCAGGCGATCCTTCTGTCTCAGCCTTCCAAGTAGCTGGAACTAGAGCATGTATCACCACACCCAGCTAATTTTTTGAATTATTGTAAAGACAAGGTCTCACCAAGTTGAGACAGGGGGTCAAGCAGAAATAGAGGTTACGTGAAGGAGCATAGGACTTTTCTTATATGAATTGATTCATTCTTCCAACAGTTTTTCAAATATACTAATTTCTGAGGATATAAACTTGAAGATTGAGTCTCTAATTTCATAGAATTAGGGTTGAGGATATTAAAACTTATCTCCAGACAAACAGGCCTCATACACTTGATAGATGTAGTGATAAGTAGAATGGAGGGCCCAGCATCACTCAGTAAAGAAGCCATAATCCAGGGTGGGGGAGTAAAGGTGAAGGCCTGAGAGCGAACTTCTTGGTGCCTGGATCGAGATTTAAAGTATTAGTAGGAGTTGGCAGAGTACCTTGGATTAATGTGACAGGGTCAGGAGACAGAGCAGTCTGTAGCATAGTCAAGAAAATTTCAGTCTGATAGAAACATAGACAGTTGCATGGGTATGTAGTGCTATCTAATTACGGTTTTAATTTGCACTTTCCTAGTGACTAATTATGATGAGCAGCTCCTTTTGTGCTTATTTTCTCTCTGTAGATCATTTTTAGTAAAGTGTCTGCTCATAACTTTTGCCTATTTTTAAATGGGTTGTTTGTTTCATAGTGTTCCTTTTTAGGAGTTCTTTGTGTGTTCCAGATACAATTTCTTTGTCAGACATATGATTTCTGAATATTTCCTCCCAGTCTGTGGCTTTTCATCCTCTTACTAGCTTCTTTCCCAGAGGGAATGTTCCTAAGGTTGATAGAGTTCAGTTTATCAACTTTTTGGGATCATGATTTTGGCATCATAACTAAGAATTATTTTGACTAATCAAGGTTAAACAAATAGTTTTGCCTGACAAGTTTTATAGTTTTACATTTAGACTTAGGTCTTTGGTTTATTTAAAATTATTATTATTAGTTTAGGTTGAGTCTTGATTTTTTTTTTTTTTTGCTTTTTTTGTTTTTGCAAATGGATATCCAATTATTTCAGCACCATTTATTGAAAATACTTTTCTTTCTTGATTGAATTGCTTTTGCAGTTTTTCAAAAATCAATTGGCTGTATTTGTAGGAGTCTTCTTTCGGATTTTCTATTTTGTGCCACAGAACTATCCTTTTGCCCATACTATACTATCTTGATTAAGTAGATTTACAATGTCTTGAAATCAAGTATAATATCTTAAAATCAAGTAGTATGAGCCCTCCAAATTCTACCCTTTTCCAAAATTATCTTAGCTATGTTCATATCTTTGCCTTTTCATATAAAATTTAAAATGTTTGCCAATATCTACAAAAAATACCTGTTAGGATTTTGACTGTTACAGTGCTAAATTTCCCCAAAAGTAACATTTTAACAATCTTCCAATTTCTTAACATCTTCCAATTTATCAATTTAGTATAACTCTGCATTTATTTAGGTTGGGGGGGCTTATTTCATCAGTAGTTGAGGTTTTCAGCATACAGATTCTATACATATTTTGTTGGATACACACCTAAGAATTTCATTTTTTGGAAATACTGTATAAGGTAATGATTTTAACTTTGAATTTCACTTTGTATGAAAGTGTATCTGGAATTCTAAAAAATCAGGTAGGAACATGCAGACACATAAATGATTGTCGTATAGTGGGAAGTTTTTACTTACAGGAGGCATGGCACACCATGCAAGGCCACATGGAGAGCATCCAGTCAGTCAGGAGGCAGAAGAGGGCAGGGGAAAGCATAGCCCAGAGCTTTTATTTTGTATCCTGTAGGAAAGAATGGGTGAGGCAATGTGAGTAAGTTTGAGCAAGTTTAGGATTTGATAGTTTAAATAATTTTAGAGTCTCTTGGCCATAGGGTGGTCTCTAGCTGTGCCTTGAGGAGATTTAGGGCAAGGGAAATATTGGCTTGCTGTGTGAGTTAGATAAAGCAGGTGGTTGGGTGTATGGATTGATCGACTTGAATGTGAATGGTGGGCTCTTAGGCAAGTTGTTTGCCATCTCTAGGAATTAGCTAGCCTTAGGAAGAGCAATTTCTTCCCAGCTAGTAAAGCCCCTAAGATGCAAAAATGTCATCAAATATGGACAATAAAAAACATAATTAAAATTCATTCATTGTTAGAATAGAAAAAACACAAGTGATTTGTGCATGTGTATTTATCTTGTATCCTATGACCTTGCTGAGCTCATTTATTAGTTCTGGAAGCTTTTGTGCAGCCTTCTTGGCATTTTCCAATGTTAACAATCATGTTGTCTGTGTATAGAAGGAGTTTTTTTTCTTGCTTTCCAATCTGCATGCCTTTTTTCCCTCTTTTCTCACCTTAATATGATGATTATCCTTTATATTTCTTACATATATTTATTTTTATTTATTAATTGCTTAATTTCTTACTGTGCTTCTAATTTATTATAGGCAGTGTAGATAGAAATTATACTAAATTTG